ACTAACATAAGTTTTGAAGTTATTTGATTTATGGATATAAATACATGTAGACAAAACGTATATCGAGCGCAGTATTGAATACCTCCTCAGAATAGAGCTGCTGAGTTGAGAATCTTTTTTGCTTTCTATATATAACTCTTAAAATAAAATTCTTCTAATTCTAAATCTTCTACGGTTGTTTACTATTAGCAAATCCAATATTATGAGAAAGTGAAAGAAAGTTTGATTTGATTGACGTTGTAAGGAATTTATAATGCAATAGATAAAATTATTTTATTTTATACTTGTTTTTAATTGTTAGTCTTCTTAATCTTAGTAAACTTTTGTAAAATTGGCGATTTGTGTTTTACCGAATATCTAAGTTTGTCTTGAGATTTTTTTTTCTAATCTAAATACCCCCAAACAACACCTCCAGAAAAATGGTTAATCACATTGCAAGAAAATGTTTATTTTGAATATGTTATCTGAGTTTTTTCGAAAGCCCTCATTGTTTTGTGATATTTGGTCAACATAAAACGTCCATTTATATATTTTTAGTGGGTATGTACTGCTTTAAATGAATAAATTCTTATTTATTTTATATGTTTTTGCAGGGAATGCCACTTGATTCTCTGTCTGCTCGACTGTATAGATTTGCACGATGTGGACGGGTATGCGCATGCGATTCGGACTTACGATGCTACTTCCAAGCTGACTATGTGGCATGTTACCATGTTACTGCGGGCAAAAAAGGTGTTTGAGGAGTACAGTCCATAAACAATGTCATCCCATAGGAAATTGTCAATAAATATTATTACAAATTAGATAAAATGAAAATTATTGTCGATTTCAGGGTTTAACAATTACCAAGTACAACTGAAACATTTGGCACCTCTTTGATTCAAAAATCCTCCAGGCCACAGCACTGCAGGGAATTGCAGRAAATTTTGCCTGCWTGTARTCAAAACMTGCGCTGATGTATGGAGTCAACCCAGGAGAGTTAAAACATTTGGTACTCGCTTGATTAAAAAAATTGTCCAGACCAAAATACTACAGTCGCAAGAAACTGTGCCTAGTTGTAGGGAAGACATACGCTGATGTATGGAGAAAGTTTTAAAGAGTTTCCGCTATAAAGGAAGTTGGTAAACATTTTCCCACTTGAGTCAACCCAGTAGCGCCCWAACATTTGGCACACGCGTGATATACAGTTCCGTGCAGGAGAGGTTGGAGGCCCCAAGCAGGCGCTTCCTCATGKWYGACTASTGGTGGCATASTGGCACTAGGTGATACGATGTTTTCTCCGCCGTTCCACATTGTGGACATACGGGGCTATCACCGATTCCACGTAGGTGTAGGTGTCTGTTCAGACCGCAGTGGCCTGTCATGACCCCAACCAGAGTTCTCAGGGCCCAGCCACTCCTTGACATCAGCCATTTGAACATTGTGTTAGAGCCTTAAAGATTTACCATTGCCAAAAATCAACCCTCCACCTCTGTGGTCAAATATTTTTTAAAGGTCCCCTTAGTGGGTCAGTAGACCAAGGAAGGGGGTAGTGAAAAGGATAAGAAACAGATGCGAACAGGCTGCCACAGTGTTCAGGCCTGCCTTTGTTTATTACCACACCCTTGTTTTATTTGGTGGCGTTTTATATACAGGGTTGCTCATTAGTGCGTCAAAGTGCGATATCTCAGTAAATATGAACTTTACAAGAAAATACGTCCTACGAAAGTTTTTCATGTTTAA